TCCGTTTTTCAAATAGGACAGCTTTTCAGGTTAAATTAAAAAGTGGCAAATAAGTCGAACAGTAAAGTTAAATAAAGTAAATAAGACTACTCTTAGTTAATCTGTATAAACATCTACGAAAGAAATATCTTCATTTTTAAGTTGTTTTTTGTGTGGAGAAAACAACATTATACAGAGAAATAACATTCCTCAGTGCATAGACAGATATGACATAGAATGTTCACGTTTATTACTTGTGTTGTTTTTCACCTACTGTAAAAGGATAGGAATTCTTTAATTTCTTCAAGTCTTGAAAAGTCTTGGCTTATTTCCAGATTATGCAAAATAGACTAAATGATTTCAATTACATAACTTTACACAGAAGTGATACACTTCGATTCGCCACACTCCATGTAGCATTCAGAGGTAGATGAAGAGAGAGAAAAAATATTCAAAAGAACTGCAGTACATAGAGATGCTGAGGGAAAATTATAGTAACATGGAAAAACATTAGTACTTAATGAACCTGAGACATTATTTGTATTGAATACATTTGTGCCATCGAGAAAGAATTTTGGGCTATATCATCAATAGTCTCTAGTCGTCGGTTCTTAGCATCCCAAGGTTCCCAACGCGGGCAGTCTGTGCCTCTTTATATCACTCACACTAACTGTTGAAGACCTCATTTACTGACGACAGGTTTCGCTTGGACCAACGTTAACTCTTTTCCTACCTAATTTTGAGCGTTTTACGTCGTATTTTCAACAAGGTCTCCGGAGGAGAGAGTGGTACCATAATTCCCATCATCTATGTTCCCCCCCCCAGAGCCAGTATCCCTGCTGAGTAAACAACATCGTAGCAACGTTTAAGCATGAAAATGAGCACCCCATGCCAGGCACTCGATTAACGCTCCCACAGCGGTAGGTGTTTTCCCACCCCCGACTGTCCCGTCTCAACCAAACCATGGACGCTTCGCAGATGGTACGTACGCGTCATGGGCACTTACATGATTTGGTCACATAATTGCACTTCCACCTTGCAAGTAGTATACAACAATCATCCTCGGATCAGTGACAATTCTTTAATTTTCGGCGAATTCATTTTCGAAGCTGTACAATCGCAAATATATATGGTTATTTTGTGCGTTGTGTATACATTAAATTTGTCAAACAAAATACGGTTAGTAAGTTCAAATGAATTGAATTTTGATAAGAGGATAACAACAAAAGTGATGAGTTGTCATAAATGATTGTGACGTCAACGTATTTTGTTTGACAAATTTAATGTATACACAACACACAAAATAACCATATATATTTGCGATTGTACAGCTTTGAAAATGAATTCGCCGAAAAGAGACTCTTTGCTGAACTACTTGTCTTTTGTCTACTAATGTCCGAATGGGAATTATTCATGAATTCTTTAATTCACATAAAGCCGGCAAGAGAACATTGAATGCTGACGATCCTCTCACCCGTGGTCCCCCTCCGCTGACCAAGACAAGAATGAGTAGGATAATTATTTTCTGTGTAGGCTCCTACCCACCTCACCTCAGCCCATGAGTACATTCCACATCCCGAACGACCAGAAATCCGAAATGCTTCCTGTACTGAGGTAATAGTCATTTACATCTCTTGGGGCGGTTGTACAAAAATGTTTATTCTGGTATAAAATACTGGGTCCTCGGATCGCGGGCGGTTACTCCCACGGCTGCTCCGCTCTCACTAAATCATGGGCGGAACCCTGACGCTTTCGCGCCCGAGCAACTGGAGGTCACGCCACCTACTTGTGCTATATGACCTCGCTGGACGTTTTAAAGACCTACAACCAGCCGCGGAGACCCACGACCGATCGCAGTCCGACGAAGCCTTAAAATCCACCATTCTTGAGCAAACCAGTCTCAGAAATAATCCCCTCACAGGTCATCTGAAGGTTCGAATCAAGCTGCCCAGTTGGTATAGGGACACGAGACTCTCCCCCCACTTGGTTTTCATGACCAGGCTACCGACCGCAGTCAATGCCTCAGTGCCCCCCAAGACGCCTTAGCACCAAAGAGGATTACAACCAGAATAAAGCCGCATATGGCAGCCCTAACGGCAAGAAATAGTTCACTCTCGCCCTGACAGAATTTAGCTAGGGAAGCCGGAAAGCAACCCCACCCAGCGAGAACCACGCGGAGGTATCTGTCAGCGCAACCATGAACTTAAGACATTGTCTTAAGAGAGTCAGAATCATTGTCAGAGTAAAGCAATGGCTCAGCGTGCACAGCACGTGCCCTAACCACTTCAGTTGATGTAGTTCCACAACGTCATCGACTGAGTTTCCCTCTTTATCTAACATTCTATAACTAACTTTAACATTATACCACTTAAAATGGGTAACAGAGTGTGTAGAAACAAGATTTCTCTTGTAAATTATGTCATATTGTTTTACTATATAACAGTAGGAACTCATCAGAAACTCAAAAATACTTAAGAAAAATCTCGATATCTTGTTGAATCCTCTAAAATCTATCAGTGTGACTAGAAATAAATAACTTCTCAAGGCTTTGAAGATGATGCTGTAACCAAGGTCTTGAAAAAAAATGCATAATTACATGTGATGACAACTGAATTTTAATGAAAGTTATACACTTGCTCAGTCTGCTTATATTTGATGAGATATATAAAACATTAGAGACAGCAGTTTTCAGCTGTGTTTCTGCGATGATCGACTTATTAAACGGTGTTAAAACATCTATGACAAAAACATTTTTAGCAGATATGCTAAGCCTATTTTATATAACTTCGAAACTACCTACTCGCTTACTTATTGTATTTTCAACCTTAACTAAGCTCACTTCTTTGTAAACAAAATCTTCTGTCACTTTAGCTTATTTTCAAACTTAGTGAAAGAATAATTCTTATTTAGATATACTACAGTCACTGAACATACGTGAGAGGAAATTTTTGTTTGGTTAAAGAACGGTAGGATAGGAGTTACTACATTATTACAATAGTGACAAACAGTTGTTCTGAAAGTGAAATTATCTAATGTCTAGGTCTAAACACAAATGTTTTTAACAAATAGTGTTTTTTTGGAGAGGTATTCTGTCACACGTTTCTTCCTCTACTCTGATGAAAGTGTTCCGAGATTACTTCAAAATAATTGTTTAAAATACTTTATAAACACATAAATTATTTTCAAGTATTGGTTTTGTAGGGATTTTGTCTGATTGCAAAAAACAACTACCACAACTAGGCTATTTTGTCATCCTAAACAACTGGCTAAACATGATAAGTTTTATTGCTGTCACAGTCTTATACAGCGTTTTAATTTCAAATACTGACAATGCATAACACTTCGAGTCTTAAGAAAAACACGTATATAAGTATACCAACGTATGCCAATAATGAATTACAGCAAGTTCTCTGTCTCCAAATACTTTAACATAAATTATCTCACATAAGATTAACGCATTCAGTGAGGTAAAGAGAAATAAATATCATTTAACTAGAACTTTTCAAACGTAACGCAATAGCCGCAAGCACATGACGCCATAGTTTAAATTCAGTGTGTAGGGATAAGCGTTCAAAATTTTATCTGATAAGCAAAACAGAATTACTGCGTGGTAAATCAGATAAGTGGAACAACATTTAAAGAGAGTAATGCAACAGTGTGTTAATTGGCAACAATATGATTGTGATTATATTGTTAAACTAGAGATTAAATTATGTCTGAACTTCGCAGCTTTCAGATTTAAAAGCAAAATAAATTTTCAAAATATCAATAAAATAAGTAGTATCTATACTTGTAGTAAAAATTATTTTTAGATATTTAGAAACGTACATCTGAAAAAATTGATCTTATCCCAGTGTCATAGCTAAAGATATACAGTTGACACATTTACTCTCTTGAAATCATTACACAACCATAATTTCTTCATTCAAATAAATTCCCTGAATTACTTAGTGGAAAAGTTTTTGAGTTTACTACTGAATGACGTATGGTTACACCTGAGGAGAAATGTAGTTTTCTCCAAGTTAAATATATTACCTGCTAACGAATAAAACAAGTAAATATTAGGCTTAACTTGGCCCATTTGTGACACTTTAGAGAAACGTCAGCTATCTGCTTTTGTACAACGCACCTCTCTTCTTTAAATCCAGGATTAACTTTCTTATATCCTTGTTTGTGTTGATTATTGATTTTTATCATCTATCAATTGTCTTTGTTTTTTCAGATAGAGGTAAGTGCATCCCTGCTTATGGGACCGCATGGTTTGTAAGTTGCAATCCCTTCTAAGCGTTAAATACCTACTAATATAACTGTTTTGGAAATTCTTTATTCTGAACTCTGACAAGCTAATACCATTTTTAATTTTTATTTTATGATAGCTTGATTACACACAGTATTTTGGTACAGGTATGGAATTTTCAGCATGTGATATCGGTAGCCCAAATTTAACAGGCCTACCACTGATATCAGGTGTGCGTCAGCCAGGGTTCGAACTCCGGACCATGTGCATGGTTGGTGAGCGTCCTAACCACTGTGAAACCGACGCACAGTAATTTTAAAACTGAGTACTACAAAAACTGAAATATCGGTATTCTGAAACGGTCAGATCAGATGTTTAGCAGGGATTTTAAAAATTAGATCTGTAAAATGTTCTATTGGTCATGCAAACACATATGCAAAATAACTTTTTCTGAATCTGATAGGTCATTCTTTATCAGGAACGATAAATCATAGAAAACCGTTGATATTTCCAAGGTTTTTTTGACATTTATTTGATTTTCAGCACATAATCAAAGCGAATAATAAGTTAATAGCTATCAGATCAATTCACATCAAAAATATAATGTTTTACAATTTCTAAGTTTTTCAGATCAATATTATGCAATAGATATACCTAGATAATGGACGCGTTGACTTCAAATTTTTAAAGCATTTTTATGTCAATTATCAAGAGCGCAAAATATGTTAATTTTAAGATAAAAACCAAAAACACAAAAGTTCTATAAAACTATTTAAACATTTACCTCAAATCTATTGATTTCATTTACAAAGGAATATTCATTAGATGTTGAAGGTGACTGTATTGCGGACTCAGTATAGCTTTTGACAGATGATTGATTATTGTGATCTGAAAAACCATTGTGTTCCACATTCAAACTCGTGTTTACAGGGACTTTTGAACTGAAAGACCAACGTTGTTGCCTGTTTATTTCAGTTACATGAGTGGTTGTGTGTTGTGAATTGGAGGAAAAAGAGGATGTTTTACTGTCTATAGACTCATCATTCTTCTGAAAGCGTGGAACATTTGACCAGTTTACTGACTGCTTAGGTTCCTATTTAAACAAAGTGATAATAAGCTAGTATCAATTTTTGGTTACGGTTAACATTATATTATGAATTAATATAAAACAATAGTATTTTGCTTGTAGTCAGTAAATTAAGGCAAGTTTAAAAGGAATGTAGCAGATAGTGTATCAATTGACAAAAGTCAAGTACATGATTTCTTCCGCAGCAATAAATATATTCCTATATAACATTTTAGGTTGTCACATTTCGTGTTCCATACAAATTCAAGAAAGTATAATATTGGATGAAGACAAGCACCCGAAATGGTGGACCCCAGTGGTCATGACTTCTTTTCTAAATTTCAAGAAAATCATGCTCCCAGTTGAATTAGAGTGAAGTGTAGTTATATGATAAATTGAAAGAAGTTAGAGTCAACGGGTTACTAGATTCTAATCCTCTCGCTCAACGGTCAGTCGAACTGCCTATTAACTTGAAAGTCACATGTTTAGTCAATAGTGAGCTCTGTAACCGAATAGCTTTTTGAAAAACCCTTCGCGAACGACCTGATCACAATATTTATAATTATCAAGACGTTTCGCCTAACTTTGTAATCATTAACCGTTTTTCTCCGAGACTATAAATCATTGTTCTGAAATTTGCATATCATATGTTGACATGATCCTGATTATTTATATTTGTCACTGTTTAATCTCTAATTTTAATGCTCCTATTCGTGTTTGTGCAGCACATTGAAAATGTGTTGTGCTTATGATGCGATTTTGTTTTAGTGAGTCAGGGTCATTTCTACCTTGGACTGTATGCAGTAATTAGCGCGTGGTTCTTGTAGATTCAGTTTCTGATCCCACTTTGTTGCAAATATTCTACTTCATTCTAAATGCTCATTTTGTATATGAAAGTTCTTTCTGACTCATAGCTGTCTAATGACAATGTCAAGGACCACAGATCTAACCAGGAATAACCATTTCGTGACTATTCTTCTGTCAAGAAGCTTTTTTCAGCTGTACAATAAGATGCAGAAATTAGTTTTATTCGCTTAGACCACAATGAGACGATTATGGTCGTTACATATTCGTTGGTGTTTATCGCTGACATGTCCTAAACTAGAATGGAACAGCTGTAAAGCGCCCCATGATTTCTAACAGTTTTCTAGCTTGCATCGTTTCGTTACGAGAATCTATCTAGTATCATTCATAGTACTTTCTAATATAATTTATCAATGTAAACCGAAGCTCAATACACGTGATATTTAAAAGTGGGAACAATAAAGTATTTCAACAAATACATCTAAAAATAGATAGAACGATGGATAGGTGATAAAATGTTGAATTGCAATAAAAAAGAAAAAGCATTTAACTAATTTTCAAATACGTATATACGTATTTGTACATTAAGATGATCTATAATGAAAGCAAATAAAAACGTATGAAATATTCAGAAATAGCTATTTCATGTAAATGTAGATAGATAGATGCAGTTCACCTGAATACAACAAAAAGAACACATTTCAAAAGCAAAAACAAAACTAGATGTATAGTGACATTTACAAAAGATTTTACTAAAAAGTAGCACGTGATGAAGTTTTCTGTAATCCAATTAAGGATGAATGTGTTCTATTTTTGGTAAACATCAATTTTTCCTATTAATTTCAAATAATATCGTATGTTCGCATATTTCTTGAACTTAGTTCCCTTTTTTCACTCTTCATTATATAATTTCGTTATTACATGAAATTAGTGTTTTATTAATGTGTTAATTCGCAAAGACTCGAAAGGTTCTAACGCAAATAAAACACTGAAATAAAACAATAATTTATGTTGATAATTTAACTGACATGTGGGGCCTCATATATACATATATATTTGTAATTTTTTGTAATAAATTAGAAATAATTCCATATACTGACTTTAAAATTGTTCGTTTCGGGTCAGCAAACAATGGGGCTTTCCCCTCTTCTTCTTATCAGTCATTCTAATATGCATCATCTTATCATCGAAAAGTGATTACATGTAAAACTAAAACTAGAGGGAATCAGCAATTACGCTTGTTGAGAAATAAGTATTAAAAAACAGTGATGAATACTTTACACTGGATAAAATTATAAAATGTAAAACTATACAACACTACTGATTGACCAGGATGAGTAGTTGTATACCACTCACATTATTCAACCAGTGGTATTTGCCAGTCAAATAAAACTGCTCTTAACACCAGACGGCTATTTCGCTAGTTTATCGGCAGTGTATCCTGTTCGACTCAGCTCACAAAGACAGCTGAATCAATTCAATCCTACCGATCTCTGGCTAGTCCACTTCAATCTAGCTAGTAAGCACTACTGGTTGGTGTAAGTAATACACACCTACTTACCCTCATCAATCAGTAGTATATGTTTTATGCATTTGTACTTATTTTCTCGATTACCATTTATAGTATCATGCAGACCACATATTATGACCGGAATAATTTCGGTTTTCAAAAGAAACTGTGGTGAAATAATCACCCTTAACCGTGTTATTTGCTAGTTAATTTTAAAAGTGAATCGCGAATTTGAAAACCACGAAGTCATTGTAGATTTCTTTCAGCAGTGACTTCCACCATAGGCTTGAATGATAGGTGTTTGCCTTAGAGAAGGGAAAAAAGGTGCTCAGTTTATAACCATTTCAGAAATTTAACTCAAAATTGATTCAATATGCAGGCGTTACTCCCGCTACCTTGTTTTTACTTACCAAAAGTTGTATAAAATACTCAAAAATTATTTATTAATCTCAGCGTAGATAATAGATGAAGTGAAAAACAATAGAACTGTAAGTTGGACGAATTTCAGGAAACAACAGAAGTACATGATTCTTAGTTGGAAAGGTTTTTTATGAATGCATATATTTCCCTTTATACATAATTTCAATGACATACGGTTTATAAAACTGGTATAGTAAGATAAATGGTTCATCAACTCTGTGTTCATTAAAAATAGTAGTAACAATACATAACCAAAATGACACAGTGAGAGTGAGGATGATGTAAATACTTGATCCCCTACATATTCACGAAATGAAAAACAAAAGAAGCATGTAAATGATTTAAGGGAGTTACCCCGTGTGAAACACCAAGAAGTGGTGCCTGTCCAGTAAATTAACCAGGAACTATGTCTCCCGAATCAAACATTTAAGATTTTGCGACGATCAGCTAACATTACATTAAACTTCTAGTAGACTTCCAGTCAAGTATAAACATTCCGCGATGCCATATTTGGCAAGTACTTCATGTGATAAAAATAGTCCCAGGCACGAACTAGCTAACGTTCTTTCCGCTAGTAAATGCACAGTTCCCTCCATCCTTATACCGACAACTTTGATTGTTATCATTCCTCCTATTTTGATGGTCCTCTAATTTTTTTCATAATTGTAAACACCATTTAAGCTCTGCAATGATTGCTATTTTTTGTTTTTCCCCTCATTGTACTATGTCAAGAGAACATTATATTCAGCATTCTATAACATATTAAGACTTCCATGCTGTATTGATAATACTGTTTGAAACGATCCTACTGTTATTAATACTATTATTATTACATGTTTATTATTCCCATTTTATACTTTGCACATATTTAACATTATTTCCACTACAAATGTGAAAACGTTCCTGTGGTTAATTTTATTTATATTTTGAGTAAATTAGATGAAACATTGTGTCAAATGCTAAAAATTCCATTCTGTATTATAAGTAATCTTTTTGGAATAAATCAGATCATTATTATTACTAGATTCAAAATATCTCCAAATGCGGTTCAGACAGGAACACAAAATATTTGGGAATTTAAGAACAGATAATTCCAATATAAAATGAATGTTATTTCGCACCAAGTTATACCCTGCCGATATTGATACAAAACACTCATTTTGAAATATTATGAAATATCTTGTAAGGTGTAATACAAATATCTCAGAAATGCTTCACCATTCCTGATCCCTTTGTCTCTTTTAATGTGATATAATCAATTGTTTCTTTCATTTCATCTATGTTATCTTAACATTTAATAATATACACATCCTGAATATCTTTTCAGAATAAAATTACTTGTTTCATTCTCTATGACGATTCAGTCTCTTGATGTAAGTAAGCGGTAACTACTCGATTTGCTTGCTTAAAAAGGACACTCCCAGTCTATACAAACAACACCACTGCTACTACGACTTCGATCCCTATGTTCCACTTGGAATGCAAAGGAACAAAAAGCCTGCCGACAAGACGCAAAACAGTGATTACATCACGAGTGACTAAATGACAGCCAAAACGTGCTAGACAGGCATGCGAAAATCTAGGTTTTATGTAACTAGTCAGGATACTAGTAGCGACTCATTAAATACGGGTGTGATTTCGATCGTCTTAATGTTTTCACTTGTTCAACATACTTCAAACGAAAAAAACTAAGCTAGAAACTCCTCGGTAAGTAAAAAAACTGTGATGTCTAATCTATTTCAACAAATCTAAATAAGTCGTCTATCTTACCTTCAGCAGGAACAGCTGTGCAGTACATTTATCAAATTTTTTTTAAATATTGCATCTACGCAATCGGTACATTATATTTCATGAATAGGTAGAAATAATATTGAAATACTAGTGGTAATCAGCCAGTGTGTTGCCAATGAATTTGCAAGTTAACACTAGGTTTCCGCCAATAATCAAAAATTTCGAAATATTTAAGTTCACTTCAGTAAAGATTTCTCCACGTACACCCATTCCCATATGCCTATTCTATAATGTAGCTTTAAGAAAATTTTATAGTTTTTGAGATAGTATAATCTAGACTTTTATTTTCATTTAGGTCAATCGGCCGGCAGAAAATTTCTGAAAATTATTACTTCCTCTCGTGATTATTCCCGCTAATCTGTCCTTTTCACTCTACAAGTTGAATCACTTCAAAATATTCTATTCAAATGGTATCTGATATAGGACGAACAGTGTCTTTCATTTATTATGTAAATTTGAAACATACTATTTGCAATTAAGTCTAAAACTACCCTTTTTTAAA